ACTTGTCCCCAGCATTGTCAATGACTTTCCTCAAGGCATTGGAGAGCTTGGCATCAATGGATTGGAATCTCACATCGGGTGCTTTGGCCAGAGCCTCCAAGTCAGGTTGATCTGCAAGACGCGGAGCTAGCCACGCTTTCCAATCTTCATAGTTTCGATCTCCACTTGCAACACAAACTTCATGAACGACACTTCCCTTCCAGGATGAAAGTTCAGTGGTCTTAGGCCAGGGTTGGAGGCTGATCTTTTCGGCTTCTCTTAGAGATACGGATGACTTAGACCTATCCCTCTCAAGGTTCTCCAACTCCTTGACATTGGTGTTGTACTCGTTCCTGAGCTTCTCGAAGGCTTCAGCTTCTGCTCGGTATTCCTGCTCTTCATCATTGGCACGGTCTTCAGCTTGAGAGAAATTGTTCTTGTAGTAATCTTTCCGATCTTCCATCTTCTTTAATTCTTCTTGAAGATTTCGAACTTCAGCGTTCCTCTCTTGCTTCATCTCGTCCAATTCAGCTTTCAGTTTGGCACATTTCTCTTCACATTCATTCCGGGGCATAGCACTACTGGGGTACCCATGTAATGTAGTCGGTCTATTCAATGATGAAGAAGAATAAGCTTGGTTTTCCAACTTCAGGGCAGCAATGGTGCTCGACATCTCTTCTACCTCAGCGAAACGCTCACTAGCCAATTGATGCATCTCGGTCAAGTGGCTTTCAGGAATGGAATAGTCAGTCGCACCTTTGATCACGAGTCTTCTGTCGTTCAACATCTTGATGGACTTACCTGCATCCCTATGAGCACGCTCAAGAGAGTCCTTTTGGGCTTCAAGTTCAGTATGAAGGCGAGCAATGGCTGTATCCCTGTCATTGATTTCATTGTGCAAACTATCGAACAAGTTACTCGTCACATTCGGATTGCTACTCATGTGATCGATCTTGTTCAGAGCATCTTGATACTTCTTACCAGTTTCATCGAAATGTTGCTGGAAGGTTTTGAGCAGGTTCTCAGTGTCAATGAGTTCAGTTCTGTTTTGCAAGTACAACTTGTCAACTTCAGCCTTGGATTCCTTCAAGCTGTCACGCTCACGCACGGCTTGCATATACATCTCGTATAGTGGTCCTCCATGCGGTGATCTGCTTGGTGAGGATCTTCTGGCTTGTTGACAGGAAAGTTCATGATACTGATTCTTCGATTCAGTCAGTTGTTGTTGCATTCGATCTAAAAGACTTTGTTTCATGTGTAGTTCAGAACGTAGTCCCATTATCCTCATGTCCCGCATGCCACTTGATTCAGCTAGAGATTCTTCAGAAACCTTGCTCTCAGAAATCGCTAGTCGAGATTGTAAGTTTTCATTGTGGATCACCTGCAATCGAAGTTGTGATTCTTCCAAAGCTAAGTGATGTTCACATTCTGCATAGCGGTCATGTTCAGATCTTATGTTACTACGGAACTCCTTCATGATCTCGTCCCTCTTCATGTCAGCAGCATCGAGCTCAGTTTCCAGTCGTCTGACATTCATGGCCATGGTGTGCTTCATTGTCTGGTTCTGATTGGCAACCTCGAGCATCTCGATCTGTAAAGCACATGTCTGGTCATTAGCGTAGCCGACCGCCAGAGCTTCTTGCTTTGCATTCATCTCTGCGTTCTCTAATTCCAGTCTGAGTTGATTGATGTGAGCATTCGCGTCAGCGCCCACATGTACCATAATTGCGTTCGCTTGTCCCATTTGTTCATCGAATTCCGAACGTAGTCGTGAATATTTAAATTCCAAATGAGATGCAGCTTCATTCGACATAGTCTGATACCTCTCCAACTCTTCGATCCTGTAGGTCGCACCTTCATCTTCTTGTTGTGCAGCCTGTAACTCGAAGTTAAGCATCTGGAGTTGTTCAGTCATCGACATCATTTCTTGATGAGTGGTGCTTTCCAGGAAATTAAACTGTTGATAGGCATATGCTGTCGTCTCAGTCAATCTTGCCTGAAGTACGGATTCTTCTTCAGTAGCCTTTTCCAGTGATGTCTTGTATTCAGCTAATTCGCTCTGATAGGCAGTGAAGATGTCGCTACCACTCGACGGGGCGTTCACTTGCTGATAAGATCCTGTCCCTGATGGAGTAGCGTCCTGAATCGGTGAAGGCGGATTCGACGACGTAGTCTTTGCCTTAGTCCTTGGAGTCATCGGAGGCGACAATTGTCGTGCAGATGATCTTCTCTTTCCAGGTGTGCTGTCCCTATCTTCAATTGCTTGCATTGTCGAAATTTGTCTCCCTCTAGGAGCAACCAGAGGTCGCCTGGGTAGGCTCGTTCTCAGTTCTGAGGCATCGCTTCCACCAGTGTCGATACTCTGTGAAGAATTTGACTGCGTGCCGGCAGCTGGTGCAACGGCATGTCCAGAAAAAGAAAATGCGTTATCACTGCTGTCCTGTTCAGTCATCTGTAAGGCCCGCGGCTACCCGCTCGTAGGCTCCGTAGGAGCCCTACGGCTGATAACCTGTGAATCGGAGGTTATCTCCCCGATTATATGTTCTTGGCTGTTATAGAAGGCTGTTGATTTCCCTCACCAGTGATGACGAACGAACAACGGTTTCGGCATTGCATCCTTTTTACGTGGAGCTGGCAGCATCTTGAGCCAAAGGTGGCAAGTGTATGCGACCCTTGGCTGTGGACGATTGAAGGTTATTTAACATTGGGAATATACATCATGCCGTAGCCTACATCACATTCGCAGTATGAATGTATGTATGTATGAATGTATGTATGTATGTATGTATGTATTTATGTATTTATGTATTTATGTATGGATGGATGTCTGTCTGTCTGCCTGTCCGTCGGTCTGTCTGTCTGTCTGTCTGTCTGTCTGTCTCTCTGTATGTATGTATGTATGTATGTATGTATGTATGTATGTATGTATGTATGTATGTATGTATGTATGTATGTATGTATGTATGTATGTTTGTATGTATGTATGTATGTATGCATGCATGTATGTATGTATGCATGAATGCTTGAATGTATGTATGAATGTATAGATATATGTATATGTATGAATGTATGTCTGTATGTATGGATGTATGAATGTATGCATGTATGTATGTATGAATGTATGTATGAATGTTTGAATGTAATGTATGAATGTATGTCTGTATGTATGTATGTATGAATGTATGCATGTATGTATGTATAATGTATGTATGAATGTTTGAATGTAATGTATGAATGTATGAATGTATGACTGTATGTATGTATGTATGTATGTAAAAATGTATATATGTATGAATGTATGAATGTATGTATGTACATATGTATGTATGTATGTATGTATGTATGAATGTATGAATGTATGTACATATGTATGTATGTATGTATGTATGTATGTATGTATGTATGCATGTATGCATGTATGCATGTATGCATGTATGCATGTATGCATGTATGCATGTATGCATGTATGCATGTATGCATGTATGCATGTATGCATGTATGCATGTATGCATGTATGCATGTATGCATGTATGCATGTATGCATGTATGCATGTATGCATGTATGCATGTATGCATGTATGCCTGTATGCCTGTATGCCTGTATGTGTGTATGCATGTATGCATGTATGCATGTATGCATGTATGCATGTATGCATGCATGTATGCATGTATGTACGTATGTATGTATGTATGATTGTTTGTTTGTATGTTTGTATGTTTGTATCCATCTGTCTATCTATCTATCTATCTATGAATCTATCTGTCTATCTATCTATCTATGTATCCATGTATCTATGTATCTGTCTATATATAGTATCTATCAATCTATCTGTCTGTCTGTCTGTCTGTCTGTCTGTCTGCCTATGTATCTATGTATCTATGTATCTATGTATCTATATATCTATGTATATGCATATGTATATATATATATTTGTATGATTACATATATGTATATATATACATGAATATATACATTACTCAGTTGTATAAGTAAGTAATGTAGGAACTATTGGCATATGCCCCATCATAGTAGATAACCAATGTCCTAAGGTGCCAACGCCGTATTTTTGTTGGCAGTTGAAAGTTACAACAATTATACGGTACTCAAAACGTTGCTAGTTGTTTGTTTCGTGATGAGTTTTTGGGTTTCAAATAAAACTTCGACCTAAATAAAACTTAGGCCTTCAAAGAATCACACCATCGACATGGATTTGTAATAACAAATGAAAATTTAGGGGAAACCTCCAAATCTAATAATTTCTAATTCCTAATTCATCATTTCTCCTGTAAAATCGCTACTTTGGGGCACACCACATGTTCAGACACCCCCATATCATCTGAGAATCATCATCTGATTGGTTAATATCCGAAATTGCATATATTAGCCACCATCGTTGATAAAACCTCCATGTATTGTAGGCTAAAGCACCATTTTCCCATACAATGTGGCTGGAGCCTTTTTCAGACCCCCCATGGATCCCTAGCTATTTCCAGGATATATAATCTGGTTTTGTATGGTTCTCGAATAATATGGCAATAGTAGGGGACTAATTGGGAAATAACAGGAAAATGATGCGGAAATAGTGGGGAAATAATAGGGGACTAAGCCCCAAATCCGATTCTCCGCCTATATGCCCGGCTGCCCTATCACTGTAAGATCGTCTCATCTGCTACCCACCATAATTGTTCCATAAAATGTGGCGACGAAGCACCATTATATCAGCCATGGGAAACCATTTTTTCATAATGGTTGTTATATGTTGCTATAAGGAATCAGCATTTCAAATCAGAATCTAATGGTTGGTAACATCATATTATGCTTTTAAAAACATGTTTTGTTCAGATGTTTTTTTAGCAACCATTACCCTGTGGTAATTTAACATAGCTATTGAAAATCACCATTTTTAATGGGAAAATCCACTATTAATGGTCATTTTCAATAGCTATGTTAAATTACCAGAGGGTAGATGTTGGCAACCCTCGGACCCAGCGGGATGTTGTTATCATCCCGCAGCCGGCGCCTTCATCGCCTGCGTCTTCTCGTCGATCCTGGCGCTGGAATCAGCTTGCCGCTGCTCCGCTAGGCGGTTGGCTTCCTGAAGGCTCAACTTCTCAACGGAACCAGGTGGCTTGGGGAGTGCAACCACCAACATATGGTCTGGTTGGTGGTTGACCTACCCCTCTGAAAAATATGAGTTCGTCAGTTGGGATGATGACATTCTCAATATATGGAAAAATAAAATATGTTCCAAACCACCAACCAGTGGTGATATGATGGAATATGAATGGAATGTGAATGGAATACGAATGCAATATGAATGGAACATGAACGGTTGATACCCTCTGGTAATCAAACGTCGCATGCTGGGAATTCTTGTTTGAACTGCGGTTTACCGAGAAAAAACATCTAGAAATAGTGGATTTTCCATTGCCATGTTTCATTACTAGAGGGTAGTAAGTCGTTATAACATGTTATAAACCCATTGATCCCGGGCTAAATGTCCTGTTTCTTAGTGGATGAAATATAGATCCCAGCGGCCGTGCCTGCAAGGTTTCCAAGTGCGTCTGCACCAGTGCTCCCGCTTCGCGCAAGGCGTCATAGATCACTTTGGGCACGGAACTGCCTCAGGAAAGTGGCCGATTTGGAGTGTTCACTACTAGAAATCAGTAGTTTGGCCACTAAAAGTTGCAAAAAAGATCAAAAAGTACACAAAGCTATTGAAAATGGTCATTTATACTGGATTTACCCATTGAAAATGGTGATTTTCCATAGTTATGTTAGTTTACCAGAGGGTAAATCCCTAGAAGTTTTGGCTCAAGCAACAATACTTGGGCTTTACAGTAGACTGGGGCCTGCCGGTACTACTTGATATATGTGCCGTGCCAGATCGAACAAGCCTTGATCGGAGGAAACGATCAAATCGGACCTCAATGATTTCCAAATGAACGATTCCCAGGATGTTCCGGAATGGAGGGAACATATATGGTTAATGGATGGTTGATGGATGGTTAATGGTGGTTAATGGTGGTTAATGGATGGTTAATGGATGGTTATTATAATATTATATATCTGGTTGGTGGTTTCAACCAACCCCTCTGAAAAATGATGGAGTTCGTCAGTTGGGATTATGACATTCCCAAACCACCAACCAGATCATCTTGGATGTACAAACCATGGTGAAACCGTTCGCCATTTTCCAACACATCAATCCATTGGTTTACTCATCTCCGCTGCGGAAGAACCCACGGAGGGAACCCACGGAGAACCTGGCACCGGACCGACCGACAGATCGCTTCATTTGTTGACCAAATATCAAATCACCCGTCTGATTTGTGGCTGATATATGCCCTGTATCTTTCTTGAAATATGCTATACTGTTTCACTGTTTCTGTTGGGTCAATCCCACTTGTTGCTAGTTCACCAGGTTTGCTGCTCCAAAAATGCCATTTGTCGCTTTCGTCGAGTCGCTCTCAGCGAGGATTTGGGCATAGCTGTAGCTGCTCTGACGGGTGCAGTGCACCGGTAACCAAATGCAAAAGGTTAAAAAACCTGGCGCGCTTGGAAAACTGAGGGACGGTTGGCCTGGGAGTGTGATGAAAATCATGAAAAATGGTGAAACATGGTGAAATTGATTAGTAAAAAGGGCTAAAAGTGATGAGTGATGACCATTTATGAAAAGTGTGAATGAATGAGTTGGTTGATGGGAAGGTCGATCGGACACCATTGATTTAACAGCCAGTTATTATTATTATTATTATATATATGTGGTTCCTGCAAATTTGCTATATGGTTCCTGCAAATTTGCCATCCTTCGTATAATTGAAAAAGGTTTCCGGGAGGTCTGGAGTCCGGTCTGGAGTCGAAATTCGAGAACCCCAAAAGCTGGTGGTATCGATCCATAGCCGTATCTTAGTGTCTAAACATCGATCGGGTGCCCCATTCCAACGGTTTGTGAAAATCGTCCAGTTATCCCCATATTCAGATGCCAATCTTCCAATAATTTGGCTCCCCGTTGAGGCCAAGAATCTCCAGTCCATCGGCTCGGCAATTCCAGTTGGACAAACCCAGACTGGTTGGTGGTTGACCTACCCCTCTGAAAAATATGAAAGTCAACGGGAAGGATGACATCCCAATATGATGGGAAGTCATAAAATTCATGTTCCAAACCACCAATCAGCAGATTTGATTAGGGAAAAATTCTTTGGACCAACAGCAGATGGTTTCAGTAGGACGACCAGCCTTTGGAAAGGGTCCTTTAAAAAAATACTGCATGTTCGACCCCCTGGCAATCAAATTTGGCAATGGAAACTCACCCATTTATAGACGATGTTCCTATTGGATCCTATTGGAACTTCCATTTAGAGTGGATTTTCATGGATTTTCCAATTGCTAGGTTGGATTGGAGGAGCCGTTGACTCAGGACGCTTGTTTCAAGACCCTTCAAGGCCCCCCTCAGAGTTGTTGGAGCCTCGAAGCATTTCTTTGGATTTGGCAGAAGTCGCTGCGCTGCAGATACTTGATCCGCTTGGCAAAGTGCCGGCGGCGAGTGATTTTTTCCATGTTTTCTTGGTGTAAAAATCGGGGAACCAATGGACCCACAATGACCCACAGCCCTACCTCTCCACCCCTAAACCCAAGCCTCAAGGTCTGAGAACCTCTTCAGTGAGGTTCTGCAAAACGAAAGAACCAATTTCTAGCAGAAAACTACCAATTGCTATCCGATAAAGGACTCTCTACGTCATCTGCTTCAAATGTGATCCAACGCGGGATGCACCCCCGGATACACCCAAAAACAAACACCCGGCGCGTCCGTCAGGAAGGCCCCCAAAGGTTCCAGGAAGGAAAAGAGAACCGTCCACATCACCTGCAAGATGCTGGACGTCTCCAATTTTTTTTGGGCTGTTGGATAGCGTTTATCCATGTGGGTAGCCAGAATGGGCCCACAGAATCGCCAAGATATTCGTGGGAAACCAGTTGTGGATATCCAGAAGCTAAACTTAAACATATCTGGAGGTGTTCGGTGTTCGCCCCAAATCACCTGAATTATGCAAGAGAAGTGAATGTTTTCGTCACTTCAAAGCATTGATTGAACTTCCATGGATTGATGGGAAACTTCGAAGAAACCATGTTTTTTTTACCCGCCAGTATGGTGGTTTCATAGATCTTTCTACCCATCCCAAACGGGAAAATTCATGAAAATTCATCTTTTGCGAGGTAAATCTTCACTGATTTCACAAAATCAACAACTGAAAACTGCAAAAAAAACTAGATCTAATGAATTAATCATCTATTGATTCTCAAATTCCATGTTTTTTCTGTTTCACAAACTATTTTGAGTTGAAATCCACCCAGGGGCCGATTCAATTCAGCTGAAAGCCACATCTTGCCTCCCGCGACTCGGGCGTGGGGCTCAGCAGTAGGTCCGAGTTGTGCATGGCCTCACCGGGTGGTAGGCCTATTGATAAATGATAAAGTTATCATATCATATTATATTACATATGATGATGATGATGATGATGATGATGATGATCGAAGTTGATATAATAACCATTCACATCATATTTCTCCAAGAACATTGAATTATCTGTGTGTAATATGCAATCATATTGCTCCATGATCTTGTTTTACTGTATAGATTTTGATAGATTTTGATGAGTCATACATCCAGACCAATGTCAAGGTCGATCCTCCAAAAAAAAAATGGAGTTTTGGAAGATGATTCTCCTGGAAATGGCCCTAGCTTTTGTGGTTCCAGCAGTTCGTTACACCGGGACTTCTTTATCATCTTGTCCAAATTGCTATTTCTTATCAGTTTCCTAGTAGATCAATCTAGATCACAAATACCAAAAAAACAAACTACAGGATAATAAGATTAGTGGAGGCCCGGGCACTGTTTGTTCATATGGACTAAAAAAAGAAATACTAATTTTATTATCAGGAAACCGAATCTACAGGATGGCTTTGTCTCCCAACCTGGCCATCACTTGATCGGAAAAAAGGAGATCTAAACCATCCCCCACACATCACGGCTGAGACCTGCAGATAGATCTTGAGCTGCATGTTTTATATAACGTGTTAAATATTCAACCAGCCCAAGATAGAGGGAACTCAGAAATGCAGGCCAAATCATCATTTTCCCTATATTTTCCTATGGTTTTCCTATGGTATTCTCAGCAACTCCGGCCTCAATGAGCTCGGGGATGACCGGCTCCAATTGACCCATCTTTAGCTCCGGGTCCTGTTCCCGGCGTGTCTCAACTGGGATGATGGTTGGATAGGTCTGGAATCATGGGGAGATGGTTATGAAACCAGAATATATGGCATATATATATATATTCATTCTACATGTGTATATGATATATGGATATATATATATATATATTATATATATACACTGTATATAATGGCTACCCATCATCTACATCCATGTGTATCAATCTATAATATCATAATCCATCTATAGAAAAAAAAATCTAGTTGTACAAGTTGTAATATGTTGTAATGGTCATAACCGAGATAGTGATGGGCATCTAAGCTTAATGAGGAGTTAATGTGATATCATTGGGATTGAATGTAGACTGGGGGGTATAACAGAAGTGTATAACAGAGATACAATGTTCACACAGTGGTCATATCATGGAATATGATCAGGAAAATTCATAGGGAAACCAAAAAAATGGATCAAATCTAGATGCATTCCAGATATCACATATATCATATATATATATATCATATATATCATATATAAGATATCTTGGGGGGCACCAAAAAAACCACCAAGGGCTTCACTGACTGCTTACCTCCATGACCCATCCCAGGCGTCCGGCGGCTGGATGGATTGCAGAACCTCCACATGGCCCTCCAAAGACATGGCCAGGATTCGCATGCTGGCGATGCGTTGGTCCAAGTCCTGCGTTGTGTTTCGACCATGGCCGTGGCAGGGCGATTGGCGAACGTGAGAACTGGCGATTTTGGGGGGGAAATCAAAGAACATCTTGGAAAAACATGGAAAAACTCAGGGTAATAAAAATGTGATTGTCATTCCACTCCTGAAAGCAACATGTTTGAAGTAGTCAGATGTCTACTGTTGTCTCAATGTGACCAAAAAAGATGCAGTCACTGAAGCTGGCTGCTAGAGCTTTGCCAGCGATTTCTGTACTGTCACTTTGAGGATGGCTCTGTCAACATTCCAAACCATGAAAGAGCTGTGCTCATTCAGTGTTTTTCCGAGGCAAACATCCCACTCTCCCACCTTCCGCGGCCATTCTCATGTGGACAACGATCATGAGATTCTGCTGTTTCACCATAAATCACCCAGTTTCCTCATTTTTCCCAGGAAAATTCCCAATTTTTCCATTCCACCCGGGCACCCTTTGGAAACGCCCCCGGGTCCATGGCGCACTCCGCATCCAAGGCGGCCTTCAGCTGGGCCCACAAGGCCGAGGGCTCCAGGAAAGCGCCCAGCAACTTGCAGACGGCGCCATAGGTTTGCATGGCCCTGGAACCATGAGTGGTTGGTGGTTTTATAGCTGGACAGCTGGAATATGCTGGAATAATGGAGGTTAAAAAATCTGGTTGGTGGTTTCGACCAACCCCTCTGAAAAATATTAGGGGATGTTTTGCTTGGAAAAAGTTGCTTTAGCTTCACCAGGTTATCAGATGAATCATATGACAATGAAGATAGCACCCCAGGTATGTTGGGACATGTTGGGACATAACCAACGTCTCAAGTAGAATTCCAGCCCTCATATTCCAATGGTTTAGCATCTCCCTGGTGTACCCGGCGAAGCTGGCTGGGGCTTGTCCGGGCATTCAAAAAGCACAAGACATGGGGATCTGGCAAGAAAAGAAAGGGACTACTTCCAATGAGTAGATACCCCTGGCCTGTCATCCAATAACAAATCAATATGTAATTCCAAACAGAAACCATCATCAATACATATAGGCCATGATTTAATTCCATATCTTCCAATGTTCGGAAACGACAACCCTGGTGCCTGCCTGGTATCGCCCGCAGCCCAGGCCCTGCCGGAGTAGAATTTCGTCAAAGCTGCCAGCATGGGCTGCAACCACTCGGTGACACCTGCAATGGGGCCCCATGAAAGTGGGGAAATGCTTGGGTTTAGGGTCAGCAAAGCATGGGATTTATATAACCAAAAATAACATAAAATAACGATGTTTCACATGATTTAACATGAGTTGACCAAGAAAAAAAGCTGGCAAACTGGGGATATAGAACGGATATCATGGGTGTAAAGCCAGTTCTAAGAGAGTCGGCACAACCCAGTTGCTAACCAGTGGACTAACTCCATCGCCCAACTATATAAGCACCTGAAAAAAGGAACATCCGGCTTTGTAGTACATCATCACTTCTTTCATCTTAAATCATATATAATAAATCTCTAATTGCTGGTGTTTTCTCAGTTTCAATCCCATGATTTTTCATGGTTCTACGGTTCCACCCGCATCCTGGGGGGTGAAATAGTTTCCTTGCCACACGAGGTAGCTCTACAAAATGATCGGACTATGGCGCGTTAAAGTTTGCTCAAGCCTCAAGCTAAGAAACACCCACAAGCTTTAATATAGTAACCCCAAAACAATAGAACCGTGTTTCCAGGATTGTATACATGATACGTATCTATATTTTTTCAGGTGTTCAACTTGTCTATTTGTTTGGGGGTTGCTGTAAGTAGTATATCAGGAAGTGATTGACCGTCTATTATATAGCCTTGATAATACCTCCTCTAAGATGTTCATATATTATGTCATCTATTGCTCACATGTTTGATATACCTGAATTCATCTCCATGTCATACATCTAAAGACATTACTGTATGATTGCACAAAGTTCCAAAAACCGTAGATACGATCATTCTTAAACGTATGACACTACATCGAACAAAAAATGAGAAAGAGAGAGGGAGAGGCGTGGCAATGCACCTCTTAGCCCTCCAAATCAGAGCCCCAAAAATCCGTTTTTGCAGTTTTTTTCGCCGGCGCCTTCTTCAGTATAGGCCACGGACATACACAGCAAGCGCCCCGCATTCAAGGCCGTGCAATCGCGGAAGTCCACCACGTCATTGAAGGTGGCCTGGCCACCAGCAATGGCCAGTGGCCAGTTTTATCAGGGACTTGGGCATCCCTCATCCCTGGTGATCAACCATCCAACCATCCCCCAACCCCACCATCCAACCATCATTCAACCATCTCCCAACCACCATTTAACCACCATTTAACCACCATTTCACCAACCATCCACCCACCATCCGCTGCCCACCTTGATGTAGCGCCTGCTGTGCGTCCGCACCCAACTCCTCGAGCCCAGCCGTGGCCGCGGCAGCCGGGGGAAGACGTCCAGGCCGCGACTGTCCGGCCAGCAGTAGTCGCCTCGGATCCGTTGCTGGGGGGTCGCTGGAAATCGTGATTTAATGGTGTTGGATAAAGGTGAATAGTGATAATAGTGATAGTGATAATGGTAGTGATTAATGATAATAGTGATAATTAATGATTAATGGTTTGAGAGTGTTTGATCATGGTGAATAGTTAACTGATTCTAGAAATAGTGGTTGATCATGGTGAATAGTGATAATGGTGGACTGATTAATGATTAATAATGATGAAGAGTGGGTCAATAACGGTTAATACATCTTAGGAAGTAATGGGAGAACAAACTGTGAAAAAATCAGGAAGAACATTTGGGATTATATATATATATATGTAGGATAAAGATTGGATTGAAAGGATAGTTGGGATTGTAAGAGGGATGATTGGTAGTAATTACATAATACTTCCCTGAAATTGGTCATATTCTGGTTTCAGGGTTTCACCTCTGGGCTATTTGGTGTTGGGAAATTCAGCAGGTTCCCACACTTTTTTTTCTTACCAGAAGATCATCAAGCCCATTCCTGGGCAGATTATGACCACTTCATGAACTGGCTTTGTCATGGGATTTTTTCGGGTTTTGGGTCTGAAAAGGGATCAACCCCATAGCCTCTAGAATTCGCATGATGCTAGCTGGATTTTGAGATAGCCTCTGGTAAACTAACAGTTTGCTATTGAAAATGGCTATTTATAGTTGATTTACCCATAAAAATTGTGATTTTCCGTAGTTTTTTTTATGTTTACCAGAGGGTAGCCTGTTTTCAAACTTCCAGGGGTACCCTGACAAGTCATTCATGGTGACTCCATCGTTCCGGCTCCAAATGACTTGGTCCAAAATGAGAGACACCCCGAAAACTGTGCATTCGAGACATGGCATGTTGATCATTTTGCAGGGTTTGCCCGAGATTTTCAGATACCGGGTTTGTCTGAAATAGTGGACCTCCAAACATCTCCAAACTTACATTGTTTATCATATGTTCCCTATTAAGATAGCCATATCTGAAGGGTTGATCCCCCATGTTCAGCACCCAAAGCCATGTGATTTCACATCCGGCCCCTCTTCGTCACCGTGTTCCCAAACGTCGCGGCAGTTCCAAGGGAGCTCCTAGACGCTCCTCCTGGAAAGGCTCAAGTTACATGGGATCAATGGCACATGGCCACATGGTCATTCATCAACCCCATTGATTTGGGTTTATACTATACCCTCTGGTATAGAAAATAGCCTCTGGTAAACAAACATAGCTAGTGAAAATGGTCCAGTCGAAATAGTTGATTTAATGGGATATAATGGGTGTGTTTCATCCACTTAATGGGATATACCCTCTGGTAAACTAACAGTTTGTTATTGAAAATGGATGAAAATGGCCCATAGAAATAGATGGTTTACCGAACTTAAAAATTGTGATTTTCTATAGCTATGTAACAAATTACCAGAGGGTATATATGAAAGTAGGGTACCCCTAAATCCAACTCTTTATTATCATTTCCCCTACCGCAAACCGTATCGCCATTTTTGGTGATATACCCCATTTTCAAACGCTTAAATCCCTATTCTGAAATCCACATGACATCCCATAACTGGGTTGGTTGAACATGGTTGAATCTTCATTTTGAATATCTTTGAGAGATGGATCCCTCCAAAACAAAGCTTTGATGACGCACCAATCCCATGTGGATGAAGGTTGCGCTCCTCCTCCTCCTCACCCGCATCATCTAACAGCTCCTTGGTCTCCCGTGTCATTGAAGGGTTGGCCTTTAAACCATGGAATAAACATCCAAATTCACAAAAGTCGAAGTTCGACAGGCCCAGACTTGATCATACTTGGATGGGCATCTTCAATTATAAAAATATGCTTAAAAAACAAAAATATCAAAAACATCAAAAAACAGCATCCAAGGCTCTCTATGGTGATGCTCCGTCAACGCCTTATGCCCCAAGAAGTCCGGTCCCCGCGCGCCCGTCTTGCGCACGTGGTCCAGGCGGTCGCCGCCGGCCCAGATGCCCTGCAGGGGGAAGGGAACGGAGGCGCGGCCGCCGTAGGTCCAGGTGTAGTCGAAGCCTGGGACGCTGGGAAATTCCTGGAAAAATTCAAGGTTGAAACTCAAAACCCACGAGAGTTGATGGTAAAAAGTCTGGATTTCTGCGTTTTTTTCCGTATATGAAGTGCAATGTTCAGTAGGAAATCATCTATAAACACATAGATCAAGGGTTATATTCGGGATTCAATGGGTTAGAATCTGTCTGACAAGGGTGGATTTACTGTCAATTTGTATCCTATTTTTGATGAGGAAAATTACTAAATTATGACAAACCCAATGGATTTTTGAATCCACGGAAGCCAGTAGTTGGTTCATTCACATGGGTTGATTTGAGATGATTTCACGAGAAATTCGCTAGAAACGCGCAATTGTTGGTGTGGTCCTGTTGTTTTTGTTCCTACATTTTCCTTGAACCAATTATTTGCAAAGAGTCCACATTATTTACAGCCACGATAGTGTAGTTCACAGAGTTTTGTTCACACCTTCAAGTGTTATCTCTATAAAGATAACAAGATAAGATACCGAAAGTCTTTGGGAACCGTCTCAACTCCCAACCCATGATTTGTGACGAACGCTGCGAGCGAGTCACCGTACTGCTTGGTCTTCCGGAGGTCCTCCTCTTTCTCGGCCTCATAGGCCTGAAGCTTGGCGCAGCGAAATGGAGGCCAGCGAGATGTGGTCAGATGTGGTCAGGGTGAGATGTTACCCGGGATCTTTCTTGCGAGGGGCTGCCACCTCCAAGTCATGATCATCATGATGATGATGATGATGATGATGATGATGACGATGACGACGATGAGGATGATGATGATGATGATGAAGCAAATGGCAATGGTGCTGGTGATGTCTTTCTCCATTCCCATCCGAACATTTGGGGTCCCCCCATCCGCCTCTCCGATCTTTTCGATCAGCCAAAAGACCTCCAACGCAATCTCCTGGCGTCGCATCCACCCCAGGAAGTCCCAGTCATTGGCCCTCAATGGGCCCAATTTGTCTGACTTCAGAGTTCAGGGATGCCCAGGGGCTGTTTCAGAGAAAAAGTCAATGGCAGCAGTTGAAATGATCAATCAAGATTTACATACATTTACTGTCATTAACCCGCTTGATGGCGTAATCTGGGGTAAGTTGCTCTATCCGCACAGTGGATAAATTCAGATGAAGGATGATATCAGCCATGGCAACGCCCACAACCTCGTTCTCATCACAGAGACCGGTCAAGAGATACGGAGCGATGTATGGTTCTAGGTCGACCTGGCCCACAATTCGACACCAGTTGGAGGATCCACTGATTTGGGGTAATTGATTGAATTGAAACATTTGCACTGAACATCATTATTGGATATATTACCCCAAATATCCCCAAATGGATATCCAAATGGATATATTATCCAAATTGTTTGATATCCAAGTTGATTATGTTTATATATTATGGATGTTGAATAATTTGGATATATAAACATTTGGATATATAAAATTATATAAACATATTCAACTTTGGCCTACCCAATGTGTACCTATGCCGTCCTATGCCCACTTCTTCCCCTGGAAAAAAAATCAACTTGAAGACTTAAATTAAAGGCCACTACTTTGTAAACAAATGGGTCAAGAGTTTTGCCTTTCAACGTACAACACAGAGCAGTCTCAGGAGATGAGTCTGCTTCAGAATCGGGCATGCCTGCTGCAACGGCATGCCCGACCAGGATGAAATCCTACTATAGTCCTATACTTTTGCAACAAACATATACATGATAGATGTGTCCAAAACCGATGCCTTCCCCACATTTTCCCCAAACAAAACTGAAATGTTAGACATGTTCCATCAAAAAACTCCTAGTTTCCCCACATTTCTCCCTTCAAAACCTTCAATTTTCACCATGATTTCACCCTGTTTTTCCCCCAAAAAAAAGTGGTCCCCAACCCCAAGGCCGGCCTTGTCCACGCAGCGCAGCATCCAATGCGCCAAGGTCTCGAACCAGAAGCGCCGCACCGCCGGGTGCCGGTCGAAGCTCAGGGTGGACATGTAGTTCACCTTTTTAAAGCGAAAAGGGCCGCGGCTGGAGGATGTTTTTGGACCTTCCATAAATGATGATTTTCCAACTAGTTGTTAGTTGGTTCTATATCCCCATCATATTCCCATTGTTGTTGGTTTATACATGTTTATACCCTATTAACCACTATTAATCACTATTAATATAACCATCACTATCTGGTTGGTGGTTTCAACCTAACCCTCTGAAAAATGATGGAGTGAAAGTCAGTTGGGATGATGAAATCCCAATATATGGAAAGTCATGATCCATTCATGTTCCAAACCACCAACCAGATATATTGTTATTCCAATTATTAACCATTATTAACCATAGATTAACCAGGAAAATTAACCATGGTTCCCAGTCACCACCAATAGCATGGGATAGCATGGGCAAATCTGATGGGAATGATCTGGGAAGATCTAATGGGAATATCATAGGATATATCACTAACAATGTCTGGAATACAATGGGAATATCTATATAATGAGAATATCTATGTATTGGGAAGAGGAGATATAACCAGCAGATATGCAAATATATGTAAGGGATGCCACAAATAATCCACAGATGGTTATGTCTAAAAACAGGGTACCATGGTTTTGAACCTCATTGTGACTCATTGTGCCCAAAATTGCCCCAACTTGGGGGTTCGGGTGTAGCCCATTTCCAGACACACCAAATGTCTGGAATAGAGTTTTTATTGGAGGGCATGATCATTTTGACATCATTTTATGCTCTAATTCACGATGATTAACGATTAACTATAGAGAATCTTGGGTCAGAATGTCAGAGATGTCTAGGTGCTTCTGGCTTTGAAAACCAAGCTAGAACATTCATGAAAACCGTCCCATTTGGTAATCCTTTGTAGATATAGTCATGGCATTGTCGGATCTTGGTCAACTTTTATTTGTATCTAACACCACCATCCACCATTCACCCAATCCTCTAGTTTTCCAACAAAAAACAAAAACACACAGAATGTATCACGTTGTAGCCTCTGGCCAACATCATTTAACAGTTTGCTCTTGAACAATGGCCAAAGTTCGTTGATGTACCGATTTTTTCCATGGCGATTTTCCACTTCGCAAAGTACCAGGAGGGTATCCCCCGGGTTCCCATCGATTCCCCAACAGCAACGCGCCAAGGCGCATTGGTGACGCCTTCGTAGAAGGCCTTGATGGGAACCTTGTTGGGGTCCTGCCAGGCCATCAACACCTGCGGCAAGGGCTTTTTTTCATGGGAAAAATGGGGAAATCATGGGGAAGATGCATGGGAACATGCTGGGAATCTAGGGAAAATACCGGGAAGATATGTAGGAGAATCATCTGTCAATCATAGAAAATCAAGAAGAAACATAGCAAAATATCATCTGTAACATCTGCAGATGATGGATTTTCCAGCATGCCTGCTTATTCATTACCAGCGGGTACACTGTAGATGAAGATTAAGCATATCCACTACAGTTCAGCACATGCTGCGAAGCACAAAACATTCTCGGGCAGTGCCTGAAAGATCTCGAAGTTGTGCTTCCACACCTGACGCTTCCACAAGAACAAACACACACCAAAAATCCAATATGGAATCAATAATAAATTTCCCATGATTTAGAATCTCATCTTTTGGATTTACACAATGGAGGGAGTAAATTTAAGTAGCAAAATTGATTAGGTCAGCATGAATATAGGGCCTATATCTTCTGTGAATTGTTTGGGAACACAAAGTCGTTGCTTCATCCTTCCCAAACAACGCCAATCTGGGCGTTAATATCCAACATATCCCCAACAATAAAAAGGATATAAAACTAAAAAACAAGTACTGACAAAACAAAAAAAACTGCTGGCTTTTATAATCCATTTACTCAGTAGCCTCCCACAATCAAACATGGCTAGTTGGAAAATCCTTCATTGATGGGTGAATTTCCCATCAATTCACTGTCATTTTTTCCGTAAATTGTCCAGCCATTTTTGAGTCCCAGAGGGATTCAAAGGGTATAGTGGGTATAGGAATACAGGGTATAATATATACTGGTTGATGGTGCAATAACCATCTTGAAAAATATGAGTTCGTCAGTTAGGATTATTATTCCCACTACATTATGGAAAAATAAAAAATGAAATGTTCCAAACCACCAACCAGATAATGTAATGTAATACAATAATAGCATATTCCCAACATACCTTCAGTTTCACCAGAGGTTACCATCCTTCCCCCACCATCCCGACGCGTTGCCGGCGTTGCCGACGCCGAGGCGCTCCGCACCAGAGACACGCCGTCACCGCCCGCAGCGCCGCGATGCGAATCTTCGCGTGGTTGTGCGTCAGGCTGGACCTGAGCTCAGCGGGAAAATCATCGTTCGTTTCAGGATGCAACGGGTGATAACTATGGGATGTATGCCTATAAATGGGATAATCTAGGGAATGTAACGTATGGGAAAGTGTCGGAATATACGGAAATATATCATGATCTGGGATATATGGGAATCCCACATCTAAATGTGTGGGATGTATCCCTATTGAATGCGGACTAAACCATACTAAACCAAGCATGTTTTATGGGGGATATAATGATAGGAATAACATGATCGAATATGATAAAATGGCATATAATGGGGATATCGGCTGGGATTGGTAACTAGCTTGGCCTCCAACTTGGAACAAGCTAGGCTGGCTCAGTCTGAGTCTCAGTCCTTTTTTTGGTCAGCTGGGCCGGGCTGTTTATGGCAGCACTTCGTTTCAACAAAGATCAAGTGATGGGTGCAGTTGGTGATATCTTAGATATCCAAGATATTCACCTAAGATATTCACATTCACCTGATTGATATCATGGGATATTCACTTGAGATATGCACATTCACCTCATTATCCTATATTAAAATTATCCTATATATTATTCCTATATTATCCTATATTCACCTTATCCTAAGATATGATCCTTAAGTTTTAAGGTGATCTCTCCGTTGCATCGTTTTTTTCCAATCGCCCAGCGGCGTGAGAGATCTGGCCAACGGCAGGGCGAAGTGCAGCAGCATCTCCGTGTGGTTGTAACCTCCGCCGATGATCTTCCCAGGCCGCCATGCGGGCAGATTGACTTCAAAAGAGGCTGGGGATCTAAGGCAGAGAAATGCTGGTAGAATGGAAGATTCATGGAAGATTCATGGAATATGATTGGAATATGATTGGAAGACTAATGGAAGATTGATGATATATTGATGAATATTAATGGAATATTAATGGAAGATTAATGGAAGATTAATGGAATATTGATGAAAGATTAATGGAAGATTGGTTGACACATGTTGATACCCTCCTTAACCAAACAACGGTTGATGTGTCAGGCAAAAAAAAAAAATCGAGGAGGTCCCCCGAAAGGAGCGCCGCGCACCGCTCAGCTGCATCCAGGGAGCAGAAGGAAATCATGGTCTCACCTTGGCTGATTGGTTGTATCATAGTTCAAGGATATTGGTCGTTTCTGAATATCCAATCAACAATCTCATTGGTTATAACAATCACAACTGGTTGGTGGTATACATACCCCTCTGAAAAATATGAGTTCGTCAGTTGGGATAATGGAATTCCCAACTGAATGGAAAGTCATAGTCCATTCATGTTCCAACCACCAACCAGTATTATATACACACCCATATTCATATTATTCATCTTTATGTTCCAAACCACCAACCAGACAATTATTGTTTACAGAAAGCCCTCTTTCACCAAAAATACCGGTGCAAAAACTCAATCACCGATATCGATGATAGAAAGCCCATCTGGAGAAATTCCACTAAATCCATCAGCCACTCATCATTTTCACATCCATTCACCAGTTACCCTCAACTAACATAGCGAACTGGAAAATCACTATGTTTAATGGGTAAATCCACTATTTCTATGGCCATTTTCAATAGCTATGTTAAATTACCGGAGGGTAGAAAAGAAACCAGTCGTCACAACCATTAACTATTTTATCCAGCCATCCACCAACATCAACCCATGAACCATTAAGCATCCATCACCCATCAAATCAACAACTAGTAGGCGTTTTACATCAATAATGAATCAACAATTATATCCCCCTTAACCAACCATCAACATCAAGCCTCAAGGGTTTATTATACCATATCAACACATGATAGTATATAACCATTAGCTAACCTATAACCATTAGAACCATTCCTCATCCATTCACCAACTATCAACATATAGTATATAACCATGACCTAACCTATAACCATTAGAACCATTATAACATGCCTCATCCATTCACCAACCAACCAACCAAGCGACCAACTGCACCAAGTGACACGCCAAAGCCTTCACCTCGTGGAAGGGATCCATGGCCTGGGCCCGGATCAGCCCCGTGGCCTCGTCGATGTAGGCGTAGATCTGCGTGGGCGAACAGCGCAGCAGCAGCGCAGCGACGAAGTGCCCCAGCTGCAGACGCACCTCTTCGCTCTCCTGAGACTTGGGACGGTTCATAATGGTTTTATTCATCTCATAGATGTTTAATGTCATACAAGTTAGTATCATACTTATTGGAAAAATGTTCGGTTCAGTTGATGTGTTATCGTATTTATAGATTCCGGGAGCTGGAGAGATTCCGTGCTTTCTTTGTGGATATTTTTTTTCCAAAACATCATCAAACCACACGAAAGACATATGGTTTGGAAAAAAAAATGAATGAAGCCAAAACAAACACAGAACACAAAAAACAAGTCATTCTCAGTATCTGAGTTGCTTTCATCAACTACATGTTTTCAAAAAAAAAATCGTCCCAGCCCCCCGGTCCGCCGGCCGTGTCCTCCACCGGCTGCGCGATCTCCGTGGGCTTCTGCTCCGGGTCCGGGCGCATGATCTCGGGGAGGTGCGCCACGCCGTCCAGGTCCTGAAGGCACCGCTGTGGCACCGAAATCCAGGGGGAAAACCATGGGAAATCCATGGGAAATCCACCAAAAATGATGGAAATCCATGGGAAAACCCACCCAAAATGGTAGAAAACCATGGGAAAAGCCTAGGAAAAATGCTGGAACAGGGTGGTTGAATGATTGTTTGGAGCTAATTTTAGAGAATTTCAACTGGTTGAGGCTGCAGAAATGGTGAATGATTGGATTGCCTGGTGCAGAATTGAGATTTTCCAACAAATTGGGGAGATTATGGTGGATTTCACTAAGCCATTTCTATGAGGATATCATGGGTTGGAAATGCTGATGATGGTAGAATTGCCCAAAAAACTCATGGATGGCGTTTTTCAGAGCATGGGATCCTTCAATTGGATCATTGGATGAATCATCCCCCATTCACCATAAATAGATGTGCTATGTTTACTTACCACTCCCATCTTTTTGGGTGGTAAAAATGGCTTTGTTTTAACCACAGAAAAAAGGCTCTGGAACCTGGGGAATTCTCGAATCATCCCCCTGGGAAGCCCCTGGATTTAGGAGCCTTGAATCACCCCACTTGGCGCCCCCCCTCTCCCCGTCGGCCTCAGAGCCCAATCTGCCAACTAAAGAGGGGAAAATGTAGGGCCTCGAGCGCTTCAGTGTCAGGACATGGCTGAAACTCACCTCTCCGAGAGCTCATGCTGCCAACTCCACTTTGAGGAAAAAAACAGACTTTCTGCTTTCATGAAAATATCGACCCCCCCAGTAGTTCTATTGTCCATGAAAAAAACATTGGTTCCCACCCCAATGTACTCCAAGTTGTGTTTTATTCCCAGAAAAACCGCCAGTTTCCTGTGTTCAACCCCTTTGATTGTTGGATCAACCACCATATTTCATGGTGCATCCCCACAGCGACGCGCCAAGGCACAGCGCCGCGCTGAGATCCGAGGTGTTCTCCACCAGGCTCCGCAGGATCTTCACGGCGCACTCGCGGCACTTCTCGCTGCGGTCCTCCGAAACCGCTGGGGGAACGTCGAAGCCGCGGAAAATCTGGCGGGAATCCACCCTGAAACCTGGGAAAAAATGCCAAAAACTAGGGCAAACTTAGGAAAAACTTGGAAAAAAAACATGAACATGATGAAGTCTATGTTAGGTATTGCTAGATCCTGACTTTCTGGAAATATCTGGAAATATGGAAAACATGGAAAACCCACATGGCAGCAAAGGACTTGGACGGTTTGGCAAAGTCTGGACAGATGGACTTCGGGGAAGTTGGGATCCTTGCCGCTCAATTTGACATTTAAATGATGAAAGATGGTAGAGATGATCAAGTCATAATTATCAATGGGAAAAAAATGTGTGGGGATGTGACTCAAAGTTGGCATCAGGCATAAGTTAGACAACAAACACATGGTTTTTGGGAGTTCGTCTCACTTGTTGGGCCACTTCTTGGGGAATGGCGAGGGTGCAATCGCCATGGGGCTCCCCTGCGATCCTTCATGCGCTTCAGCAACGGCTTCAGAAGCGCATCCATCACCGCATCGATGATGTCGGTCGCCAGGCTTTCCTGGGAGTCGGAGCACAGGTCCCCTGCGAAGTTGGCTTAAGTTCTGCCTGGTAGTTGTACCCTATGCATAATTTACCATGGGGAAAAAAGGCTGGGAACTGCCATGTTATCTCGTCTCTTTCTCAAGATTGTCACAATTGATCATAATTGATATATAATTCTTGGTTGCATCCCGTGTTTTCTCGGAGATCAACCCAATATTCTGCTGTTAAAAGTGTGTTACATCACTGCAATTTCGCATTTTCCCGTTTTCTGTATCAATGTTTCTCGTTTGCGATTCCATCATGTCTCATTAAGTGGCTGGTTCGATCCATAACTTTGTTGGCTAAATCCCCTTTCAATCCATTTGCCAATCATATTGTACCACTTAAAACCAAAATCATGAATCCATGGTTAAACATGCTGAAAAATACCCATGAGATAAAAAAACACCTTTGCATATTTTTGTTATATTATATCCCCATGATACCCGTATTTGGGGGTTTCCATAAATGGGGGATCCCCAAATGGATGGTTTATCATGGAAAATACCATTAAAACGGATGATTTGAGGGTACCCCTATTTCAGGAAACCTCGTGATATCCCATTATAATCCCATCAAAAAATGCCATGACAGTCCCATGACAGTCCCATGACAGTCCCATGACAGTCCCATTATCAAAGGGTATATCCCATTTTCAGTGGATGAACAAATCCCATTATAATCCCATTAAATCACCATTTAAAAGCCATTAAACCCTACTAAAATCCCATTAAATCACCATTAAAAAAGCCTATTAACCCCCATCATATCCAAATTAAATCCCATTTGTTTTGAACATCCACCACTTTTTACGCCACGCTCCAACGCCAAGGCACCACCTGCTGCACCAGCAGCCGCTGCAGCTTCTGCAGCGATGTCAGGCGTACGCTGAGGCTCTCTTCGGCCAGACCTAAAATCGGCCAGACATTTTGACCATGAAAAAATGGTGCAAAAATGAGGAAACAGTAGGGAAAAATGATGGAAATATGGGAATAGAAATATGGGAAATATGGGAATAATGATGGAAATATGGGAATAGTGGGGGAAATAATAGAAAATGTGGAGATTTGGGCACTGGAAAAATGGAGCTTGAAGCGACATGGTCGCGACATGGTTTCTCTTGATCTGAGGTTTTGTCCTAAGAATCATTGAGAATGGACAGAAATTGGGGATCATCTGTCTAGCAAGACCTGTTTTTGTTTGTGGCTATGTAAGATCTAATTGTTGAAACCATGAGAATGTAATGGGAATGTAGTTGGAACATCATGCCTTCGCTTCTGATTGTAGAGCATACTGTTAACAAAATGGTATATATAACCAACAAATCTGAGAATGAATCAACGCTTTTTTGAGGAAATTACGGTTCAAGAGCCCATTTTATGTGGTCAAACCGTTTGGGTGTCCAGTTTCAAATCTCACTTCAAGCCAATGACATCGAGACGGACCGATCAAAGAAGGAAACCATTGCTTTTACATGCTTTTACCATCAAATATAAGGATACAATGCTCTGGCAAACATACAAAAAACGATGGAAAATCACCATGTTATAGTTGGGATGTTGGGTAAATGGTAAACGTTTACAGAACTAAACGGAAAATCACCATTTTCAATGGGTAAATCAACTATTTCTATGGCCATGTTCAGTAGCAAACTGTTTGTTTACCGGTAATGTTTTCCTGCACCAATTCTACTGTTATTCCATCCCAATGCGGGTGCCAGCTGGTCGAATCTGAGGTCGCGTCTCGGAATGCTTCAGACAGAACAACAACATGTCGAAATGAGACAGTGTGACATGATATTCAAATGTATACAATGTATACATGTTATATATATATATATATATTTATGTGTGTGTAGTCATCATTCAATATCATTTAATATAGCATGTCTCTGTTTATGACATAATTTGAAATTGAATGATATCGAATGCATACACAGGGACAGCAACAAATCACACACAAATTTATACCCTCTGGTAAACTAACATAACTATGGAAAATCACCATTTTTAATGGGTAAATCAGCTATAAATGGTCATTTTCAATAGCTACGTTAAATTACCAGAGGGTAACCGGCTCCTCCGAACATGCGCCGCAGTGGTGTTAGAAATCGCTGAGTCGCAGTTGATGTCACGCTGGATGTAGGCCAAGAAGATCTCAGGAGTGCCTGACAGCCCCAGGATGCCCCAGAAAAACCGCAGAGCTTGGACCGTTGCTTAGTGACTTAGTGGTACTGGGGGATGGTACCAACTGTGAAAAACCTATATCCAAGTATCACTTCTTAGTGATACAAGCCATGCTCTGAAAAAAAATCAATCTGTACCCATAAACACGAGTTTGAGGTGACACCACGATGATTTCGTAGTCACAAATAGGCAACTTGAACTTCCACGGTGGTCATCAGCATCAGCTTCAGACCCCAGTGCTTATGTTGAACACTCGGCTCAAAGCGGGGTGTATGGCTATCATGTCGTTTCCATGTCTTTATTAAAAAAATGGTAAATCCATGTAAATATACGTATATCCATCTATATGTGTTTGTTGATTTAAGTTGCCCAGTCTGCTGTTTCAAATCCCTATCATTCCTTGGTTGGATAAAACCATGATTTTTTTGTCATAAAACATCATGATGATAACATCCCTCTAATTTTCTGGGTCATATCATCAATTCCCCCTGCTTAGAAAGCCAGAAAATTAGAGTCTCTTTTGGGAGATGGTCCATATAATCTTTATGATGTATCTTCATCCATTTTTTGTGGCTCCCAACCTGTTGGCAACTCTTCAAGTGCATCCACCATGGTCGTGGGAGGTTCCACCACCGCCATGGCAGGTTCAACTTCTGCAGGTCTCAACTGCTCCTGCCGGGAAAATGCCAGAAACTCTCGAGTTGGATCTGTTTCATCAAGTCTCATTTCAAGGAATAGCCTACAGATTGTAGATTTCAGGGAAAACACAGCAGGAAACCATGGATTTTAACGTTTTAACCTTTGGAAATAGGGATGAGTCCCGGCCAGCACCACAGCCCCGCACCTGCTCTGTCTTCAATTTGGCCCAGCCCGACATCCAATTCAACGAGGAGTCCATGCGCTTGGCGACCTTCCTGGGGGGTGTGAACAGGATGAGTGATTTGTTGAACTACTTTTGTTTGAAGGTGACAAGGAGACTTGATGACATCTTTGGGGATGTGCAAAACGCAGGCTATTGGTGAAAAGTGTAGACCGGTTGACCCAAGGATGCACCCCACTTTTTAGAATTTCGTAAGCTTCTATAACCAGCAATCAGGAGTTCTCCTGTATATAAGATGCGTCACCCCCGCTGAAATGCCGGGAAGTGTCTTCGTCTTCTTTTCTCTTTGCAAGAGACTTAGGTCGGACACCTCCCAAGCACCACCAGCGCCAAAGCTGTGAGGTTGGAGGGATGATAATTGTGTAATTACGCTGTATTCAGTTGTATAAAGGTATTGTCCGCTCCCAGAAGATCCAGAAGCACAAGAACAAATTCTCACCATGGAACGACCCGAATGGCGCATCCTGGACTTTCAACCAGCGAACCATCGCTTCCTTGCTACCCGTCATCTTTTCGCTTCTTGGTGATTGATGTGTGAGTTCACGAAATATTTCCAAGGGCAACCCCACAATCCTTTGTTGCCTTAGATTCTTGTTGGATACGTTCATTAGGATAAGGACACCTCAAGCACCGAGCAACGCCACAGTGATGGTCCTGAGCAGTTTCATCAATGAGGTATTGCAACAGTCTAGAAATATCCAAAGATAACATACAAAGGGTGTTCTTGCTTGCAATCTCTCCCATGGTGAGAAGCAAGACTGCATAAAATAGGTTCGAAAATGGGTTCTAAAACGATGGATTGAACAGGAGAAACAAATTGAACCTCCTGAAACGCCAAACAGCTATTGCTGTGAGGACAGGGAAAAAATGGCCACTGCTGGCTCCACCATCCCACGGGCCCTCGCCCAGAGGGGTTGTCTTGGACAACACAAGTCGTGAACGCCAAAAAGGGCTACAGAAATCTCCAGTCTTCAAAAGTCAGAGTCACGAGGAAGGAGCCCTAACGAACATCGTTTCAGACATTGGCTCCAAAATCCATCGATAGGTAACAAAACTGGATGTTCTGTCCCAGGTTCTGTATGTTCTGTCTTGTGGACAGTCACACAATGGCCGGGGTGAAAACATTTTCTATAGCGGTTCCATGGGGTGAAAACAAGTTAAATGGAGGCAAAACCACCCGCAACTATATTATGGTTATGGGTCAAAACCCGTCAAAACCGTCAAAGTTCTCACCAAAACAGCTGGGAATTTTACGGATGTTCATCCAACAAAATCATCATATTGATGGTTATATATACCCTCTGGTTATTTAACATAGCCATGGTATAGATGGCCCATAGAAATAGATGGTTTACCGATTAAAAATGGGGATTTTCCATGGCTATGCTAAATAACCAGAGGGTATATACAATATATGATATATGTATTATACAATTACGATATACCGGTATGTCCTCTCCATTATACCCCCATTTTTGCTGGTTAAATCTCCATCAAATATGCTACCGGTTTTGATCCATATGGTACCATCGGAGCAGAGTCCTATTGAAACCCTGTCATTGCAAATCAATGCCTTGGTCTTTGCAAAGCTCTTGGTTTTCTGCTCCCGCTGCATCTCCGACCATATCCTAGGTCGCTTGTTGTTGAGCGGTGGTTTTCTGACATGGCCACGTTGACTCATGGAACATCGTCGATAGTCAATCTTCCAGGTTGACTTCCCTTGAAGCTTGAAGTGCAAGAAAAACACCTAACAACTCTTGAGACACTGAATATTTGGGGCATCTAAATCCTGTCACGCGTTTAGAAGGTGGCAAGTCCAGAAATGAGGCCCGCAATGCTGGGTGACCATGCATGGTAACTCCAGAAAGTGATTGAAACTATGGTCACTACCAACTCAGGAGTACAAGCTTAGATACTCATCTCGCGAGTAGCCCAACAGTTGCTGGGACCTCCATCATTAGATATCTGTAGAATCATCCTGTAGATGATATCATCCAAAAAGTACAGTGACTTGAAGTCGTGTTTCATCACAGCTGGATATGGCGACATCATCTCACCACATCTCCAAGATTCTCATCCATATCAGCCATGCCAGGCAGGGAAGGGCGGGAAGTACTGTGGTTTCTGCTGTTGTGCCAAGCTTGCGGGAATGTCCCGTCCATCAGATCCCAAGAAATGGAACGATATCGATGTTTCAAAGGGGACACGTCTTCTCTTGGAAGATCTGTCTTGCAGCCTTGCAGGTCGTATTCAAAAATGTCTGCTATTTTTCTCCATTCAACGTAGAAATTTTAAAAATGTTGACATTTCAGTGGACAGCAACTGTTATTTTTGACCATTTAAATGGATTTTTACAAAACCAAAAGCTGTCAGTGGCTGTCATGTCTGTGTCGACTTCGGAATGTCCTGATGATCCTGAAGGTAACTGTGGCAAAGCCATTTCAACGAAACAGTCCATTGCTCTATATATATGGAGGTTTCTATAAATGGAGGTGTACCCCAAAAACGCTGGATGGTTTATTTCATGGAAAAACCCAACTAGAAATGGATGAGTACCCCTATTGTAGGAAACCCCCATATAGTTCTAGCAGGGTTTTTGTTCAATATTTTTTTTAAATTCACCCTCAACACCCCACTATATACTATATACTGTACTGGTGTAAGATTTTGAAATCACCCAGTTCTAAACCCTTCGTGTTTCCTGTTGTTTGGCCCCCACTTATGCGTGTCAATACTTCCTTTTTCCCACTTGTGGCATCCAGAATTACAAAAACACCTCCCGATTCGAACCATTTGGGCGCCATTATACCAACTATAGGCCGCATACCCAATAAACCACAGATTGGGAATGGTTTTTTGTGGATTTTTGTTGCCACAAAAATCGTTGCGATCGCCATTCCAGGTCGAAATTCCCAATCTATCTATCTTTGGATCAAAAAAAGATCAACGTGCATTGGGGCATCTCACAAGTCGCAGCTCTAGATCAATCGAAGATGATCCAGATTAAACGATAAACATGTAGGTCTCGCACACTCAGGGGCAAGCAGACTGTCCCTCCACATCCGCTTGGAGTTGACTTTTGAGGCTCTGCTCAGCTGAGATCTCTAGAATGTGATGTCGAGCTCGAAACCCATCTTCTTCTTTTCCTCGATCACTTGCTCCAAGGCCTGGCTGTCGGTGCTCTTTTCTTTGCTGGATGGCACTATGACGTCCCCCACAGCCCTAGCCCTCAGCACCCTCAGCACCCTTCAGTCAGGGTCAGAATCTGAACCTCAACATCAAGAATAAGCAGAGGCACCATGAGCAGCCACTTGGATTCCCGGGACACAAAAGGCCTTCACTCCCTCATCGTCGATGGAATTGTTCCACAATGGGATGCTTGTCACGGAAGTGTTCGTCATCAAAGCTTCAGCCAGTGCCTGGCCAAAGGGAAAGCGACTCGGAAGTAGATCAAGGTTGACATCTGCGAGACCTCATGAAATACAAAGGAGACACAACTCTCAGTTTCCGACTCCGAGTTTCCAAACAACCATTCCCACTGGATTCAAGGCGAATGTCTTTGACACAGAGATGCACTTCCAGCCAATATCATGCCAATATCCCAGTAGAAAGCATGGCATACCACATCATACCACACAGAATGAGTTCAAGTCAAAAAGCAATTCACCCACTTCACTGACAGTCAACAAGATTTGGAACCTGGAAATGTGATGGATGAGCATGAGCAGACTACAAAGCCTTCCAAAAAGCTGGTGACAAAAACACCATGAACAGCCACTTGGAATCCCGGGACACAACAGGCCTTCACCCCCTCATCGCCGATGGAATTGAAATGCAGGTCGATGCTTGTCACGGAAGCGTTCGTCTTCAAAGCTTCAGCTAGTGCCTGGCCAAAGGGAAAGCGACGTGGAAGTAGCTCAAAGCTAACATCTGTGAGACCTCATCAAATACAAATGAGACACAACTCTCAGTTTCCGACTCTGAGTTTCCAAAGAACAATTCCCACTGGATTCAGGGCAAATGTCGTTGACAGAGATGCATTTCCAGCCAACATCATGCCAATATCCCAGTAGAAAGCATACAACATCATACCACACAGAATGAGTTCAAGTCAAAAAGCAATTCACCAATTCGCCCACTTCACTGACACTCAACAAGATTTGGAACCTGGAAATGCGAAGGATGAGCATGAGCAAACTACAAAGCCTTTCAAAAAGCTGGCGACAAAGACAACATGAGCAGCCACTTGGAATCCCGGGACACAAAAGGCCTTCAACCCCTCATCGCCGATGGAATTGCCACTCAGCCAAATGCTTGTCACGGAAACGTTCGTCTTCAAAGCTTCAGCTAGTGCCTGGCCAAAGGGAAAGCGACGTGGAAGTAGCTCAAAGCTAACATCTGTGAGACCTCATCAAATACAAATGAGACACAACTCTCAGTTTCCGACTCTGAGTTTCCAAAGAACAATTCCCACTGGATTCAGGGCAAATGTCGTTGACAGAGATGCATTTCCAGCCAACATCATGCCAATATCCCAGTAGAAAGCATACCACATCATACCACACAGAATGAGTTCAAGTCAAAAATCAATTCACCAATTCACCCACTTCACTGACACTCAACAAGATTTGGAACCTGGAAATGCGAAGGATGAGCATGAGCAAACTACAAAGCCTTTCAAAAAGCTGGCGACAAAGACACCATGAGCAGCCAGTTGGAACCCTGGGACACAAAAGGCCTTCACCCCCTCATCGCCGATGGAATTTTTAGCCAGGCCGATGCGTGTCACGGAAGTGTTCTTCTTCAAAGCTTCAGCTAGTGCCTGGCCACAGGGAAAGCGACTTGGAAGTAGATCAAGGCTGACATCTGTGAGACGTCATGAAATACAAAGGAGACACAACTCTCAGTTTCCGACTCTGAGTTTCCAAAGAACAATTCCCACTGGATTCAGGGCAAATGTCTTTGACACAGAGATGCACTTCCAGCCAATATCATGCCAATATCCCAGTAGAAAGCATGGCATACCACATCATACCACACAGAATGAGTTCAAGTCAAAAAGCAATTCACCCACTTCACTGACAGTCAACAAAAATTGGAAACTGGAAATGTGATGGATGAGCATGAGCAGACTACAAAGCCTTCCAAAAAGCTGGCGACAAAGACACCATGAGCAGCCACTTGGAACACCGGGACACAAAAGGCCTTCACTCCCTCAACGCCGATGGAATTGTCTTCCAGGTTGATAAATGTCACGGAAGCGTTCGTCTTCAAAGCTTCAGCTAGTGCCTCGCCAAAGGGAAAGCGACGTGGAAGTAGCTCAAAGCTAACATCTGTGAGACCTCATCAAATACAAATGAGACACAACTCTCAGTTTCCGACTCTGAGTTTCCAAAGAACAATTCCCACTGGATTCAGGGCAAATGTCGTTGACAGAGATGCATTTCCAGCCAACATCATGCCAATATCCCAGTAGAAAGCATACCACATCATACCACACAGAATGAGTTCAAGTCAAAAATCAATTCACCAATTCACCCACTTCACTGACACTCAACAAGATTTGGAACCTGGAATGCGAAGGATGAGCATGAGCAAACTACAAAGCCTTTCAAAAAGCTGGCGACAAAGACACCATGAGCAGCCAGTTGGAACCCTGGGACACAAAAGGCCTTCACCCCCTCATCGCCGATGGAATTTTTAGCCAGGCAGATGCGTGTCACGGAAGTGTTCTTCTTCAAAGCTTCAGCTAGTGCCTGGCCACAGGGAAAGCGACTTGGAAGTAGATCAAGGCTGACATCTGTGAGACCTCATGAAATACAAAGGAGACAGAACTCTCAGTTTCAGACTCCGAGTTTTCAAACAACAATTCCCACTGGATTCAGGGCAAATGTCTTTGACACAGAGATGCACTTCCAGCCAATATCATGCCAATATCCCAGTAGAAAGCATGGTATACAACATCATACCACACAGAATGAGTTCAAGTCAAAAAGCAATTCACCCACTTCACTGACAGTCAACAAAAATTGGAAACTGGAAATGTGATGGATGAGCATGAGCAGACTACAAAGCCTGCCAAAAAGCTGGCGACAAAGACACCATGAGCAGCCACTTGGAACACCGGGACACAAAAGGCCTTCACTCCCTCAACGCCGGTGGAATTCTAAAACAGCTCGATGCTTGTCACGGAAGTGTTCGTCTTCAAAGCTTCAGCTAGTGCCTGGCCAAAGGGAAAGCGACATGGAAGTAGACAAAGGCTAAAATCTGTGAGACCTCATGAAATACAAAGGAGACAGAACTCTCCGTTTCAGACTCCGAGTTTTCAAACAACAATTCCCACTGGATTCAGGGCAAATGTCTTTGACACAGAGATGCACTTCCAGCCAATATCATGCCAATATCCCAGTAGAAAGCATACCACATCATACCACACAGAATGAGTTCAAGTCAAAAAGCAATTCACCCACTTCACTGCCAGTCAACAAAAATTGGAAACTGGAAATGCGAAGGATGAGCATGAGCAAACTACAAAACCTTTCAACAAACTGGCGACAAAAACACCATGAGCAGCCACTTGGAATCCCGGGACACAAAAGGCCTTCACTCCCTCATCACCGATGGAATTGCGAGCCAATTTGATGCTTGTCACGGAAACGTTCGTCTTCAAAGCTTCAGCTAGTGCCTGGCCAAAGGGAAAGCGACGTGGAAGTAGCTCAAAGCTAACATCTGTGGGACCTCATCAAATACAAATGAGACACAACTCTCAGTTTCCGACTCTGAGTTTCCGAAAAACAATTCCCACTGGATTCAGGGCAAATGTCTTTGACACAGAGATGCACTTCCAGCCAATATCATGCCAATATCCCAGTAGAAAGCATACCAAATCATACCACACAGAATGAGTTCAAGTCAAGAAGAAATTCACCCACTTCATTGACAGTCAACAAAAATTGGAAACTGGAAATGTGACGGATGAGCATGAGCAGACTACAAAGCCTTCCAAAAAGCTGGCGACAAAGACACCATGAGCAGCCACTTGGAACACCGGGACACAAAAGGCCTTCACTCCCTCATCGCCGATGGAACTTTCAGCCAGGCCGATGCTTGTCACAGAAGTGTTCTTCTTCAAAGCTTCGGCTAGTGCCTGGCCAAAGGGAAAGCGACGTGGAAGTAGCTCAAAGCTAACATCTGTGAGACCTCATCAAATACAAATGAGACACAACTCTCAGTTTCCGACTCTGAGTTTCCAAAGAACAATTTCCACTGGATTCAGGGCAAATGTCTTTGACACAGAGATGCACTTCCAGCCAATATCATGCCAATATCCCAGTAGAAAGCATACCAAATCATACCACATCATACCACACAGAATGAGTTCAAGTCAATAAGAAATTCACCCACTTCACTGACAGCCAACAAAAATTGGAAACTGGAAATGTGATGGATGAGCATGAGCAGACTACAAAGCCTTCCAAAAAGCTGGCGACAAAGACACCATGAGCAGCCACTTGGAATCCCGGGGCACAAAAGGCCTGCGCTCCCTCAGCGCCTATGGAATTTTTACTCAGGCGGATGCTTGTCACAGAAGTGTTCGTCTTCAAAGCTTCAGCCAGTGCCTGGCCGAAGGGAAAGCGACATGGAAGTAGATCAAATCTGACATCCGTGAGACCTCATGAAATACAAATGAGACACAACTCTCAGTTTCCGACTCTGAGTTTCCAAAGAACAAATCCCACTGGATTCAGGGCAAATGTCTTTGACACAGA